GAGGCATGGGGGAGCATGTGCCCCGTGGGTCTGTGCATGGGGCAAGGGTGGGCTGCACCAGCATTTTCCCCAGTGGTGGGGGAGCTGCAGTAGGGGTGGGCAGTGGCAGCTCTACAGGGAGGCTGTGGTGAATTTTGGGTTGGCTGTACCCGCCTCATAGCCAACCCTCCCAGCGTGGTTGCCACCTGAGTGCAGCCCTGGCCCCTCCCCACCCCGCCTCGCCCCCGGAAGAAGCTGGCCCAGTCCCTAGCCCCGAACCCTCAGCAGGCAGCCTGCGCTCGCTCCATGCACAAAGGTGGTGGGGGCCATGCCCCCCATATCTCCCCTGGGGTGCGCACAACAGCGGGAGCTGCCCAGGTTCCCTCAGGCAAGTTGCCTGTGGCTCTGTGCTGTGTCCCACCCCACCCCAGCTGTGCAGCCCCAGCCCCACTTGCTCCCTCACCGTGGAAGCTGTGATCTGCCCCCCCCATGCATCTTTCCCCACCCAACAGACTTACCAGTTGGATGCTGCTCTCCAAGCTGCTGGGCTGCATATTGGCAATTGGATTGGTATTGGCCGATATAGCTGGTTAATAATTGGTATCAACCCAAAAAATGTTTATTCGTGTATCCCAAGTATTATAAACCTACTTTTTTTTTGTTTCTGTACAGGAATGTTTGGTGATACAATGCATATGTTATTCAAGACTAGCAATTTTCTGGTGTTTACCTTTTCATAAGTGCAGCACAGTTAATTAATTAGAGTAAGCTAGTTCACCATATTAAACAAATAGGTAAAATGCATTCATTGAAAGACATGTGAATACTTACATTTCTGGGTGTTTGATTAAAGACGAGTTGCACTATGATTAATTTAAGCTGGTTCTAGCTGAGTAACTAGGTTCAATAAAGTTCTGTCAGTAAAACTTCCTTTTGTTGTCACTTTATCAAGTATAATGGGCTCAGGTGCATGCTAACTGATTGTCATGAAATACCCTAATTTGGCTGTCGGATGAAAACAGGACTAAGATGATACAGTGAAATGAACAATGAATAGAGAATAGACGACATTGACAGCTGCATTTGTTGCTAGCTGGACATACAATGGTTAAGAGAACTCTTGTATTTTTTTATCCACTGCTGTGAAGCAGGCATCAGAGAGGTGTTGTGAGGACAGTGGTTGCAATGCAAGAACTGATCTAATTTAGAGAGACTCTCAACTGAAGTTTGTTGTAAGATGGGTAAGACTTCGACACAGTGGGGAAAGATGACAAAATATAAAAGCCTAAGCTCAAAGGAGTACCTTTTCCTGTGTAGAGTCTTGCCTTCTCCCATGATTTTGCTCCATTTATTTTTAGTATAGTTTGCGGAGTACAGGGTTAACCCACTGTAAACAAGTGTTGGAGAAACTAGTTTAAAATAAGTTTCCCCTTCTCTTTGTGGGTCTTTTTGAAACTTGGAAAGTATTTACTGGATACAGTAGTTTCATGGAACTTCTAATATTACCTGGAACTCCTCCAGTACGCAACAGGCAGTTGCATAAAATGGAAATGTGTGCAAACTGAATAATTTTGTGTTTATACGTGCTTTCTCTGAACTTTTAGGTGGGTGATGATAAAACTGTAAAACACTGGAAAATGGATGGTCCAGGATATGGGGAAGAAGAAGAACCAATACATACAATTCTTGGAAAGGTATATAGTTTTAACTTCACTTTCACACTTGTATTCTCCTGAAGGATTTGTTGATGGAGTAGTGAGTAGAAGAAGCAGGGAGATAGTTTCAAGTAATGCTTCTGAATACAGTGCTGGTGATGTCAGTACTAGGGTACTGTAGCCAGTTTTGGTGTCTATATTTGAAAAAGATATTGCACAGTTGGAGAAGGATAAGAAGTGTCACAATAGTGATTCAGGGGCTTGGGTTGAGGGTGAGAGACTGGCTTATTTTCACAGTAGCTCAGGTTCACTTCTTGGGTGATGTTATGTTACAAAACAATAGTTGGGCAGTACAGTGTGTGTATTAGCAGCACTGCATGAATATGTTGAGTGTCAGCAGTAGGGATGTTAGTATCTTTTTAAAACGTATTTGTTTAACCTCCTCTAATTATATTCCTTAAAGATTAACCAATAACACAGCAGCTGCTGCTGGGAGCTGCTTCAGGCTCCAGTGGCCCTTTGACTCTGGGGAGGGGGGAGGAGGCAGGCCCAGCCAGACAACACATCCCACCTGAAGCACTACACTGGGAGGAGGGAGCACCTGTGAGTGAGCAACTAATTGCTTAATTGATGAGTCATTAGGCTGCTTGCTGTTTTCTTCTTAGGCTATGGGTACTACTCCCCCTTGCCCTTCCCCCTC